GCATTTCAAATACTAGCCAAAGGAACTGCTTCTTGAAATGTGTAACATTTCCAACTCTGGGAAGACACTGCTGGCTTCAAGTGTCATTGATATCCAATACTTTCTCAATAGAAGCAACACAAATGGCCTAAGGTGTATGGGCCCTGTATTATTATAACACAATCTGGAAAATGAACTGATGTTTCCAGTTCAGACACCATGTGGGCATTTAGTTTATTTTACATTCATGGTGGTTGAGTTGAATGAATAATGCCAGAGGTAGAGGGAAAAACTATTTGGCAGAAGGAGGAATAAGGAGAAGACAAGAGGAATACTTGACATGGAAAGTCACTTGATATTACCAGTTAAGCTACAGAATTGGGGTTTTGAGGAAAATTCCAAACAAATTCCCAAATATCAGTTTGGAAAGTGTTTTTTTTAATCTATGTTCTACTTTTGTGGCATTTCAATAAATGGTATCCCCCAATTATAAACATTTTCTTCAAAGTGCATTTCCTGTAAACTGGCAAGAAGTGTAGCTAATATGACTAATATTGAGAAGGATATACTTGCTCTGAAACTCTTGGAGAAAAATATACTCTGCATTAGTTAAAAATAATGAACCATATTTATAAATAATTCACAAAAGAAGCTTTCTCAAACACTTGAGGGTTCATTTCAGTACACGTGCCTTTGTAATACAAAGCTATAGTAATTAAAGTTGTTACAGGGAGTTGAATTTTTTTGTCAAAAATCCATTTAAATTCAAGGCCAAGGTCCTAATTTTCTTTGCACAGCTTCTAAACTTAACTTCCTCTTCATTTATGCAGACCCTTCATTGTACAACTTTATTGGCTCATATCAATAACTGTCAATTAGTAACTGGAAACTATGGCTAACTTAATCCTCAAAACGGTGTTTTCATCTCCGTTTCAGGGATGAGAAAACAAGTTTCTGAAATGTGGGATAACTTGATCCGTGTGATCCATGATACATTCGTACCCGGAAGTGGCACTACAGCAGTCTTCCCTGTATGCACTTTTCCTAGGCTGTGCTGTCTCTAAATGGAAGCTGTTCACGATGCTATCATGAAGATAATATTAGACAGCCAACTAAATGTTCAGTGAAGATGAGTAGAACAAATCTTACCAAGGAAAATATTTTCTTTAAAATATTAGCTATAGGAACCAAAAAGTAGGTTTATTTTCATTCACTTATTTTATTATTTATTTTTATTATTTTGGGGGGGTACTGGTGATCAAACTCAGGACCTTGTGCTTGCTAGTCAGTCACTGAAGCCACTGAGCCATCTCTCTGGCCTTGAGAAGTAGTTTTAGAACCACAGTTCAGGTCCTTAAATATAAATCAGTAATGTTACTCAATTATGTACACTTAAGTTATTGAATATTTATTGTTTTAATCTTAGTGTTTGTTGGCATTTCATTAATATACCATATATTACTTAATAAAAGTAGTTAAAACATTAATTTTTCAGGAAAATTCTTATATGATATTTTCCATAAGAAACTCTAAGCACTTTCTCCTCCTTGTCCTTGTGCCTGTTTTCCTCTTTACTGAGAAGATTCCATAATTTGTCAATAGACAAACTTGTGAATGGGAGAAGAAGGAATCAAATTAACCCGGGATTAATTATTTTATGGCTGCCACCACTCTCCAGAGGCCCTGCTGAGATCCAAGTGAAGTTCTAAGAATATTTTAGTTGTGTCACCTGATGTGGCCACACGGTGTGTCCAATTTACAAATGCTGGTAATTCACGTGGGTGTAAAGTGAAAACAAAATGAACTTACACCAGACTGGGGAGAAGAGAACACAATTTCAGTACCATCTGAACAATTTGCCAAAAGTATTTTTGTTAAAGACATGAAAGTATATATAAATAAACATTTTCTTACGTGACTGAGGAAACATTACATATCACAGGGCTAACAATCCAGGCTCTAATGTACCAGATACTAATACATATTTAAAACAAGGTTCTCAATTGCTGTTGTGTGTTAAATAATTTTAAGAAAACCATTTTTGATGGGTGCCATCATGCAAGTCTCCCTCCACCCTCCAGAAAAGCCCCAAAGATCATTTTAACAATTCTTAGTGCTTACATGAGACAAAATGAAATAGAAGGACAGTAAAACACCTTTTCTATGTAGGTCCAAATCCATCTGTCCATATGTTTGCATGTATGTTTTAAAAGATATTAATGTAAAATAATACGTATCATTGTAATACATATGAAGTTATGTCATAGTTTAAAATATTCTTTTTGCTTTTCTTTAATGAATTTTCAGTTTTTATTTTGTATTAATACATATTTGCAGTAGATAATGTTTCAATTCCTCATGGGGACTTGGTAATATATGTGGTGCATCTCAATTCCTTTTCGTCCACTTCTCTTCTTTTCTCTCTCCCTCCATCTCTTGTGCCCCTTCCCATTTAAAAAAGATCTATCTCCCCACTTTGTGTGATCTATCATTTATTTGGCTCTTTATTTATATTTTCAGTTTCTCCTATAAGAGAAGCCATGTATCTTCTCAAAATAGTTAAAGGCAATATATTACCATAATAAAAGTATATCCATGTTTATAATAGCACAATTCATGATAGCTAAATCTTAGAAGTGGCAGATATGTCAATTCACAAATGAATTGATAAAGAAAATGTGGTATTTGTACACAGTGGAGAATTATACTGTCATAGAAAAGATAAATTGATTCACGTAGGGAAATGGATGCACATTAAGACCGTAGTGTTAAGTGAAATGAAACAAGTATCTAAAGTATCCTAATTTTTAAATCCTACAATTTGTTTAAAGTTTGATATACATTTTCATATCCTTATTAGATTCACTGTAATGTGTACTTATACTCTCTATAGTTTTGAAAAAAATTAGTAGTATATTATTCTATGATCTACTTCTAGCATTTACCAATAAATCATTGATGTTTTCCTGATTAATACATGACAAGATTTTACTGATTACATAATGCTTCATAGTGTGAATATATAATAATTTATTCAAACATTCTCATTCTTTACAGTTCTTGGCTATTTCTAACAATTTGTGTTTACAAATACTACAGTAAGCATCCATCTCTATGTATGTTTATCTATGGGTAGTTTCTGTTAGAATGTCTCCAAATTAGAAATACTGGATAAAAGTAGATGTTTATCTTTAAATTTGGTACATACTGCCAAAAGTCAATAGTTTATGTCTAAATTAATGCAGACACCAATTATCTCATTTACAAATTTGTACAGATATGTGTATGCTGGTGGCCAAATTTACAAGCATATATTTCCTTGCTCTATCAGCTGTGACATCCAGTAGCAGCAAGCTTACATAACACCCAGATAATAGTTTCTTATACCATTCTCCAAACAAAGGGGTATAGGGAGCCTTGGCCAAATAAATCTAAGGAAAAATATCTAAAACTTAGCTGAGTCAAAAAAAAATATCTAGAATGAACCTGGAACACTTTAGTACTGAAGAAAAGCAAGGAAAAACTTGGGATATAGCTCAGCAGTATGCACAAGTACCTAGTATACAGTAGGTTCTGAATTTGATCCCAAGCACTGAAAAAAATCACAATCATGGGAATATGTCAAAATGACACAACTGGAGGTGTTACAAATGGCCAAAAACTAGAACAGATTTAGTAATAAATTAAGCAGTTTGGGGTTATAACCCAAACTATAAAATAAATATATATTAGTCAATTGTGATGTGAATAAATAACTGTATGTAGCAGTAGTATAACAGAGAAATCTTCCATGCAGAAGAATTCCAAATCATTCATTTAAATCTTTTCTCTTTTTGGAGATGGGGAAAAATCCCTTACTTCTAAAATAGGATCTGTGTATAGTAATTTCCTTCCAAAGAACTGCATAGAATAAGGGGCAAAGAAGCATAACTTTACAAAGGAGAAACTTCACAGACACCATATAGTTGGGTAACTGAAGCTCGACAGCAATAGTGAAAAGTCATATTCATAGTATATACCACTGAGTACTGAGTCCTGACTATGTCTGAAGTGTTGTTACAGAAAATTGACGTAGAAGGTCATTTCCCACAACTTTACCAGTTTGGTATTTTTCAATTAGCAGTTTTCTGTTTTTCTTATTAGCATTTATTTCATTGACTAGTTTTATAATAATACCCTTGTTGTTATTTTGAAATGCTTTATTTTATACTCTAAAACTAAGAAGAAATCATGTGAATAGTGTTACTAAAATATATTTCATGTAAGAGAACAAAGTAATAATTATGAAGTTAAAGCGAAAAGGATATTTTTCATTTTAATTGAGAACATTAGTGTGTCTCAGTTACTTTCTCTTGTTGCTGGGACAAATACCCAACACTCAAAATAAAGGAAGGAAAGGTTAATTTAGCTCACAGTTATGGGGGAAGGGGTTCAATCCATACTCGGCTGGCTCCAAGGCAGAGCGATACAAGGCAGAGAGCAGCAGTTCATGGTGTTGGCAAAAAGCAAGAGAGCAAAAGGAGGCCTAACAGCCGCTCCAGCAGCTAGCTTCTCTTCCCTCCTCACATTGTAATGCAAATTACCTGCCCCAGGGCAGGTGCAGCATCCACAGCCAGAATAATCAATCACAAATTCCAGAAGCTGCCCCAAGACTGCATGAAGCTTTGGGGGGACAATTAGTCACAAGCCATAACATTTCACCCCTGGACCCCCAAAGACTCATGTACATCCTGTTGTAACTCAAAAATGAGGCAGGCTCAGAAGTTTAAAAAGCGCTTTATTTTAGCTGTTACCCAGCAGCAACACTCAGCACAAAGCACCTAAGTGTGTGCAGGGTGGCGAGGGAGCATGGCGTTTATAAAGCTTAAAACTGCAAAGCAGGTGGGGTACAACTCGGGGAGTTCAAGGAGACATGGCAGCTGTTGAGATTAGATATGGTTATAGGTCTGGAGGGGTTCTTGGAATTCAAGGGTGGGGTGGGGCTTGCAGAGACAGAAGCTCTGTGAGATAGGCTTACATTTTACAGCAGTTGACATGGTTCACTAAGACGGCGCATACAAAACAGGATGGCGGTGCTTTGGTCAAGTTATAACATTCCCCACTGATTTTAGGTAGTGAGTCAAATCTTTGACTCATGGAAAGTGGTCTTGGTCAGGGGCGCTTGTTCATAACCTTGGGATCGTATGACCACCAGTTTTATTGTCTGTACTCTATTTTTGATATACTGGATTAACCTATTGAGGATACAGGTCCCAATTGTCACACATATGAGAACAATCATCAAGGGGCCAGCTGCAGCCATTATTAGAGTGCTTAGCTATGGCGAAAAAGAAAACCATCTTTTGAACCAGTTTTGTTCAGCCTGTCTAGCTTGTTCTCTTTCTCGTAGCCTCTTTTTTTAACTCTGACATGTTTTGTTTGATGACTCCTGAATGGTTAGCATAGAGGCAGCATGTTTCTCCCAAGGCAAGGCAGAGGCCCCCCTCTTTAAGAAAAAGGAAAGTCTCCTCTCCTATTTTGTAATGCCATTTCAGCCAGCAAGCTAAGAGACTTTTCTATTTTAGACACTGAGTCACTCAAGGTAGCCAAATCTCAGTCAATAAGGGCACTAAGGTGCCTATAGTTGAGATCTCCCACCACAAGACTAGACACTCCTAGGCTTATAGACCCTGCCATACCAATACGCAAAAGAACGGGTATGAGTACTGGGTTGGCTCTTTTGACCCTTAGGAAATCTCCTTGGTTAAGGTTAGGTAAAATATGACTGCGTCCATTATCTCCGGAGTACCAATACACCTGGGGAAGAATATGGACCAAAATGCAGAGCTCTGGTTATTGGGTGAACAGATGGTACAAGGCACATGGGGTCAGGCCTGAAGTGCATGTGAACCATGTGCCATTAGCGGCTGTGTGATGTTTGTTGGTTAGTGGGGTAAGAGTGATTTGAAATCGGGATAGAAGAAGACTTGTTACAAAAGATTGAGTAAGGGGAGGAAAATAAGGGATAAGAAACCGAGTACAAGCAAGTTCCAGGAGGTCCATGTATGTCTCCTAGGGTGAGAAGTGGTTTGTGTCCCCACCAGCAGGTGGGGTCATCAGCAGAGGAGTTAAGGAGGGAGGGAGTGTTAGCAGTCACGGGAGTTCCTGCATAAAAGGAGGTCGAGAGGGGATACAGAGGCAGCAGTCATCTGTTAGATCTGGGTTACTAAGGTTGAGATATTGAAAGCTAATATTGAGAAGAAAGGGGTCAGGGGAAGGGGAAAAGATGGCTAAAATTGGGGAATGCAGAGAAATGGGAATGGTAGGAGAGGAGGGGGTGACAAGGGAAGTGGTTGACTTAGGTTTAGGTGGGGACTGTAGGGGTACCTGGGGACCTATAGGGCAAGCCATGGGAGCAGTGCATGAGGGTCCAGGGATAAACTGAATGGTAAAGGAATTGCCTGGGTCATAACCATAGACATATAGCCTAATGCCATAGTGTAAGCCACCCTTGCAGTCGGGTAGGGTAGGGTGTTTGGTAGTAAAGGTCATCTTATTGCATTTATTTAGCTCACAATTGCTAGGGGTCTTTCTTGTTACTTTGATCTGTAGATCATTATTGCTTCCTTTCCAAGGACTAATTGACTCACATCCCCAAACATAGCAAAAGAATTCCCTTTCATGGTTTTGGGAGCAATGCCAAGTATGATAATAAGTGCCAAGCCCCACAGCCCATTTATCTTTGGGTAGCTCCTTTTGTTTCTGGGGGCAAATATACCATGGGGTTGACTGTAATTTTTTTTGTTGGTCTAAGGTTCTACACCATGGTGACAGATTAGTGGGGATGTCGGACCACTCAAAAGATCTGTGATGGTCACTAGGAATCTTGTCAGTGGGGTCTCCAAGAAGCATACAAAGGTCTACTGTAATGACCTCATGTACAGTGGTGCTAGTGGCCAGGATTTCTCCAGTATTGTAGTCAGTAGTTTCCAAGTTCCATATTGGGGGTTATGGCTAGGGCCCTTGGGGAGGGCAAAAGGAAGGGTACACAAAAGGAAAGAGATTAGGTACAATTGATCAATTTTAGTTTTAAGGGGTCTTTAGAAGCAACCACAGTCCACTTATCTGTAGGCTTGTTGAGATTGGACGTTGGTACCAACTTGAGGTGGGAGTGGTGAATCCAGGCAGTCTTTCCAGTGACCTTTACGGTGGTTGGGGTGCTGAGAACCACTGTGTAAGGTCCTTCTCAATGAGGTTCAAGTGACTCTCAACGGTGTCTCTTAATGAGGAATTGAGATCCGGGCTCGGCTGCCAGTTGATCCCCGTTGGAGGGGGCATCTGGTGGAGGATGGTGTTGGCGGAACAGCCAGTGGATGGATGTCAAGACTGGTTGAAGAGCCTCAAGAGAATTAATAAGATCTTGGTTAGCAATCTGCTAGTTTTTCCTCAGAGATCTTAAGTATAAGGGGAGGGTGTCTCCCATAAAGGGCTTCAAAGGGGGAGATTCCAGAAATGTAGGGGGTACAGAGCATGCACAGGACGGCAAAAGGAAGGGGGCTCACCCAGTTTTCACCAGTTTCCAGGGCCATTTTGGTTATTATAGTTTTTAAAGTTTGGTTCATTCTTTAAACCTGTCCTGAACTTTAAGGCTAGTAGGCACAGTGAAGTTTCCAATTAACCTGTAAAGCCTGTAACATCTTTTGAGTAATTTGAGCTATGAAAGCTGGGCCATTGTCAGACCCCATAGATAATAGAAGGCCAAATCTGGGAATTATCTCATAGAGGAGCTTTTTGACTACAGTTAGAGCTGATTCCAATTTGGTCGGGAAAGCTTCAACCTATCCGGGGAAGGAGTCAACCATGACCAGAAGGTATTTATGTCCTTGGAGTCCAAGGTTTCCCATCTCTGTAAAATCTATTTCCCAATGTTCTCCTGGCATGGTTCCTCGATATCGAGAGATCTCTAATGGTTTATGCCTTTTAGGATTCACTAATTGGCATTGAGGACACCTCAAACTGACAGGTTGAGTAAGTTTGGACAGCTGAGGGATGAAAAATCATTCCTGAAACAGTTCGGATAGCTTAGTGCTGCCCAGGTGGGTGGCTTGGTGACCTTGTTGGATAAGCTCACGCCCTAGCGCTTCTGGAATTAAGACCCACTTGTTGGGTAGTTGGTACCAGCCTCCGGGGATATTTTGTCTTGCTTGGAGTTGAGCAGCTAGACGCAAGTCTTTTTGAGTGTAAATAGGGTCAGACAAAGTTGGAGGTCTTAGCAGCTATACAGAAGCCTGTTTAGTCCCCACTGATTTTAGGGCTGCTTCTCGGGTGGCCACATCAGCCAAGTTTTTGTCCCATATAATAGGGTCATTTCAAACTTCATGGGCCTTGCAGTGGATTATGGCCAGCTTTTTGGGAAGCCAAATGGCTGCCAACAAATCTAGGGTTTGGGGAGCATTTTTAACCTTTTGTCCTCCAGAGGTTAATAAGCCTCTTTCCTGATAAACGATACCATGAACATGAACAGTGGCAAATGCATACCTGCTGTCGATGTAAATGTTGATGTCTTTTCCCTCAGATAATTTGAGGGCCTCTGTGAGAGCGATGAGTTCGGCTCACTGGGCCGAGGTTCCAGGTTCTAATCCATGGTTCCAAAGAACCTGGGTGTCTGTGGTGACCGCAGCTCCCACAACCCACTTACCTTGGTGGATGAAACTGCTTCCATCTGAGAAATATGAGAGGACTCCTGGCAGCAATTCATCCACTAAATCTGGTCGGAGTCTGGAGAAGTGTTTTACCATCTCAGAGCAGTTATGCATTGGCAATGAGGAGTCATCATCTGGCAGGAAGGTGGCTGGATTTAAGGCTGTGGTCTCTCTGAAGCTGATAGTAGCCAGGTCAAGAAGCAAAGCTTGATAATGCATCACACGGGAGTTGGATAGCCATTTATCTGCTGGTGCCTTGATCAAGGTTTCCAATGAGTGAGAGGAAATGTCCACAAGTCTTTGACCAAAAGTCAGTTTTTGGGCTTCTTTTACCAGCAGGGCCACTGTTGCCATTACCAGCAAACAGAATGGCCATCTAGACACCACTGTATCAAGCCCCTCTTGGAGAGGTAGGCAATGGGTCTTTACCAGGCTCCCAAGGACTGGCTCAGAACTCCCTTAGATATACCTCTTTTCTCATCCACATAAAGGGAGAATGGTTTTCTTAGGTTAGGCAAGGCTAAGGCGGGGGCTTTCGTTAAGGCCTGCTTTAACTGTTGAAACGCTTGATTTTGGGGCCCACCCCATTCTAGAGGGTCTTGGGTTGCTCCCCATAAAGAATCATAGAGGGGCTATGCAAGTTCTGCAAAACTGATGATCCACAGCCTGCATATCCCACAGCTCCCAGAAACTCCCATACTTGTCTTTTATTGACTGGAGCAGGAATCTGCATGATGGCTCGTATTCTCTATGGAGAGAGAGTTCGCTTTCCTTCATGAATTTGATAAACCAAATAAGTCACAAGCTTTTGGCATAGCTGGGCCTTTTTAAGCAGACACTTTGTAGCCCAACTTCTCTAGGGCCTGTAGCAGAGCTCGTGTTGTGGTTACATAACATTCATACTAGTGAGCTGCCAGCAAGATATCATCAACATACTGCAAAATTGTCACATCAGGGTGTTCTCTAAACTCTAGAAGATCACAGGCCAGAGCCTCATCTAAGAAAGTGGGGGTCATTCTTAAACCCTTGTGGGAATCTAGTCCAAGTCAATTGTTCTGATACCCCAGATGCGGGGTCAGGCCACTCAAAAGCAAAGATGGGTTGACTTATGGTGCGATGGGCAGGATAAAAATGTATCCTTGAGGTCTAGCACCAAGTACCAGGTTTGTTCTGGGTTCAAAAGGCTCAGCAAGGTATAGGGGTTAGGTACAGTGGGACGAAGAGTGACCACCCTTTTATTTACCTCTTGAAGTCTAGCACCGAGTACCAGGTTTGTTCTGGGCTCAAAAGGCTTAGCAAGGTATAGGGGTTAGGTACAGTGGGACAAAGAGTGACCACCCTTTTATTTACCTCTTTCAGGTCTTGAACTGGTCAATAGTCGTGTTCCAGGCTTTTGGACAGGCAACAGGGGTGTATTCCAGGGGGATACACATGGCCTCAATATCCCTTGGCTCCAGAGTCTCTGGATGTGTTTTGCTGTGCCTTGATGAGCAGCCAGGCTTATGGGATACTGTTTAAGTCAAATGGGGGTTGCTGGGGGAGTAAGCTCGATCACCAAGGGTACCTGATTTAAAGCCAGTCCAGGCGGATTGTTTTCTGTGCATACTCCCTGGATTTCTTGCTGCCATCAGGTTAATAGTTTTTTGTGGGCAGTTGAGGGTCTTCCTCTAGAAGGTAACCTTTTCCTTCAGGGTGGATTGCCAAAATCTTAATTTGGGAGGGGCCACCTGTCCCCAGGGTGACTCCTGGTTGTTCTTGTCCAAAGCTGAGATGGACCTTTAATTTGTGTAGGAGGTCTCAACCCAGGAGGGGATTAGGGCATTCCTGTACTCAAAAGAACTCATATTGGATGGCTTTTTGACCAGGCCGTGATTAGTTTGTAATTTTTGGTAGGTTTTGGCTGATCCAGTAGCTCCAAAAACTCTCATGGACCTCCCAGTGGGGGCCCCCAGGGGTTGAGTAGGCTCGGAGTGAGATGCCTCTGAGTCTACCAGGAAGTTGACGGATTGGCCCCCCCCCCACATTTAGGGTTAGCTGGGGCTCTGGGGGACATAAAAAGGTCTTGGCATCTTTCTGGAGTTTTAGTTTGAGCTTCGGACAGTCTTTGCACCAATGTCCCCTTTCCTTGCAGTAAGCACATTGATCCTTGTCCAGAGGAGGTCGAGATCCGACAACCTTATTAGCCAGCACCTCTAATACTTTGATCAGCTTTTGATCCTTGGGTTCTTCACGATTATCAAATACCTTCTGTGCAATCTCTACTAACTGACTAAGGGGCCTTCCTTCAAATCCCTCAAGTTTCTATAATTTGCGCTTTACATCTGGGGCCGACTGGGAGACAAAGGCTATATTAATAGCCCTTGCATTCTCGGGTGCCTCTGGATCTATTGGGGTATAAATATGATAGGCCTCTTGTAATCTAAGAAGCCCGCAGGTGATTCTGTGGCCAATTATCTAACCTCAGACACTTTGGACAAATTGGTAGGCTTCCTAGCAGCTCCTTTAAGGGAGCCCAATAGGACCTGGTGATAACAATTGAGAGCCTCCTTACCTCGGTCCATGTTGGGGTCCCACTCTGGGCGGGACAAGGGGAATACAAGATCCAGACAGACGAGGTCTGAAGTCGGTTCTCTGTCCGGTCCCTTGACTGATTTTTGTGCAAACGCCCAAATGCGTTCGCGTTCCTCTGAAGAGGGTCTGAAGAAGTTGTTGACAGTCGTCCCAAGTGGGACAATGGGTATAACAGATAGTTTCAATGAGGGTAATCAAACCTTGGGGATCCTTAGAAAAGGGAGGATTCTGGTGCTTCCAATTGTAGAGGTCAGAGGAGGTAAAGGGGATAAAAGTAAAAAGGGGTTGTTGTGGGTTACCAAGATTTAGAACCTCGAGTAAAGGAAGAAGAGTGCCTGAGGGAAGGTTCCCGGACTGGGTGGTATCAGGGAAGACTGGACTCTCGGGTTGCTGGTGGCTCCGAGTTCTCATGGGGCTGGGAGGTTGAGTGTCAGGAGGGGGGGTAAAAGGGAGAGGACGGTAGGAGGGGGAGCCAGGAAAGGAGGGAGGTCCTCCTCGTTGGAGGAGAGAACTGGAGGTTTTTCTGGGGGTTTAGGGGATTTTAGAGGAGCAAGGAGAGGAGGGTTCTGGGGTTGTTGTCCGGTGACCCTCAGGAACTTCTTTAGCCATGACGGAGGATTGTAGAGGACGTCAAGCCAAATCTGGATATGGACAATCTGGTCTGGGTGAGTCGTGGGTCCAAAAACCGCCTGACAGACCGCTTTGGCTGTAGAGATGAAAAATATCCTAGTGGCAGCCAGGAAGTTAAGGATGGCCATTCGTGTTCACAAAAGGTACGCAGTTTGCCTGGAAAGACCGGCTCTCCTTAACCCTTTGCTCACTGCTTGAAGTCACTAAAATGATTAAGAACTGCAGTTAAGGGGGTCAAGGACATAGACACTCATGATGATTGTCCCATGGTTGAAAACAGAGGAAAAACAATGAGACAGGAAACAAAACACAAAACAAGCACAATCGCAAAGGCCCTTCCTTCCAATACGGTTGAATGACCTAGTAAAGCCAAAAGGGGATTAGGGCCGGGAGAGGGGGGGGAACCAAATGGACATATACATCTCAAGAAACCAAATGGGCACATGCCCAAAACAAAATCTTAAAGGAAAACCAAACTGGAGGGCGCCCTCTCCACAGTGCCGGAACACAAAGTCTGGCCACTGAAACAAATGTGCACACCAAATTCAATGAAAGCCCTCGTTATCTTACCTCGTTGGCACCTTGAGATGTTGGACGGGAAAGTTAAATTCCCATGGGGATCCCGGATGAGCCCCCAAATGTTGTAACTCAAAAATGAGGCAGGCTTAAAAGTTTAAAATGTGCTTTATTTTAGTTGTTACCCAGCACTGACACTCGGCACAAAGCACCTAATGCACGTGGGGGTGGGGCGGTGGGGGGTGGTTTTATAAAACTTAAAACTGCAAAGCAGGTGGGGTACAACTCGGGGAGTTCAAGGAGACATGGCAGCTGTTGAGATTAGATATGGTTATAGGTCTGGAGGGGGTCTTGGAATTTAACAGTGGGGTGGGGCTTGCAGAAACAGAAGCTCTGTGAGATAGGCATACATTTTACAGCAGTTGACATGGTTCACTAAGACAGCGCATGCAAAACAGGATGGCAGCCCTTTGGTCAGGTTATAAGACATCTCTTTATGCAAAAGCCATTTTAGTCCATCTCTAACAGTTGCTGAGGACCCAACAGTTTCAGCATTGCTGAACAGTCCAAGTCCCAAGTCTCCTCCAAGATCTAAGGCAAACTCTTAGCTGTGAGGCCCTATACAAATGAAAAGTTAAACACTTCCAACATTCAATGGCACAAGGTAGACATTACCATTCCACAAGGTACACACAACAGGATACCAAGCATTGAGAGGAACACAAGTCCAATATCCAACAGGGCAAACATTAAATCCCCGTAGTTCCATGTGGAACATCTGAAGCAATCCATGGCAAATTGTATGTTCTATGTGGCTCTGCCCCTGTGGCACTTCTGGTGGTTGTAGCTCTCATGGCTTCTCTCTTGGGCTGGCTTTGCTCCCTCCTTGAAGTTTCCCTTAGATGATCCACATTCCTGGCTTTTCCAAATTTCTGGAGTTTCCACTGAATAGGCTTCTCACTCACAGCTCCACACACTGCCCTCTCAGGGGCACACTGCCTGGCCTCCCAGGCCTTCTTCTGAAATTTAGATGGAAGCCTTCTTAGCCATAGAACTCCTACATTCTGCAAGTGCCTAAAACCAATGTCAGGTGGATGATGCCAAGCTCTGCTGCCAGCTAGATCAGTAGTCAAGTTTCCTTCACTCCTGGATGTAGGGGTCAAGTTCCTGCATTGCCGAGCACTCTGACCCTGATTCCAAGGAATAAATTCTCCACGTTAGCACCATTCTAGACCCTGGTGTGGTCACGCTGCCATTCTGGAAGATGGAGCTCTGTGGCTTTTTCCCCAAGGCAAAGTCCCTGACCTTTTTAATTCTGAGGATGCAAAGGGTGGAGACCTGCCACCTCCTGTGATGCCCTCAGGCAATCCTTTCTGCTCTCTTGTTCCTTACCAGGAAGGGAGATTTCCTCACCTCTATCTTTGCATTCCACAATTTTCCTTGCACTTCCTTTCTGGCCAAACTCACAACATTTTAAGCCGTCCTACTTGGCTCTTTGAGCTTGATTCTCAAATTAAATCTGCCTAAAAATCCTTAACAGCAAGCATGCCACTGCCCCAATATTTGGCTGCTTTGACATATCTTTTGCCAGATTAATCAGTCCACCATGCTTAATCTTAGGCTCAGGCAAAGTCTCTGGACAAGAGCAAAATGCAGATAAAGATTTTGCCAAGTCAAAACACAAATTATCTGGAGTCCAGCAACCAATGCAGTCCTTCCTCACAGAAACCTCTCCTACCTGGTCTTTACAGGCAGGCTTCCTATCAGACTTCTGTTCTTCGGAGTTCTGACCAGAATCTCCCAAACAGAACAGCCAAAGACATTCCAGCTTGTTGCAAGTAGGCAACATCTCCAAACCATTCCTATCTCTTCCCATAAGCTATTCCCAAAAGCTTGTAATCCACCTGATCAGGTTTAGCCACAGAAACTACCTCACTCCTGGTACCAAATTCTATCTCAATTTCTCTTCTTTCATTGCTGGGACAAATACCCAACACTCAAAATGAAGGAAGGAAAGGTGTATTTATCTCACAGTTGCTGGAGGTTCCAGTCCAGACTCAGCTGGCTTCAAGGCAGAGTAGCACATGGCAGAGAGCACCCATTCATGGCAGGGGCAAAGAGCAAGAGAGCAAAAGGAGGCATAGCAGCAGCTCAAGCAGCTAGATTCTCTTACCTTCTTACACTGTAAAGCAACTTACTTGCTCCATGGCAGGGGCAGCATCCACACCCACAATAATCAATCACAAATTCCAGAAGTTGCACTAAGACTGCATGAGGCTTCGGGGGGACAACTATACACAAACAATAACAGTATGACTTCATAAGTTTTTTTATTTATTTATTTATTTATTTATTTATTTATTTATTTTTTGCGGGACCAGGGATTGAACTCAGAGCTCTGCACCTGCCAGGGAAGCGCTTATTCCACTGAGCCACCTCCCTGGCCCCTATGACTTCATAAGTTTTAAATGTGTATACTTTCTGGCTCTATGAGCTAAAACTGCCCAGGGACCATGGCATTTCAATAGAAACAAGTAGTCAAGTTCATAGATTTGAGGCTGTAGTCCCATTCCCTCATTTTGCAGTATCTGGGTTCCTTAGAGCTAATTCAAGGTGTGGAGCAATTGACAGGAACGGTACTCTATGATCCTGTGACAGCATGTGAAAATAGGAATCAAGGAAAATTGCAAAGATAGAGTCATTTGTAAAGGATGCTAGGGTCCACTTAAACAATATCCTGCTTGTTGAATATATGAAAATATGACCATCAAAAAGAATAATCAGAGTTAAATATCTCCACCTTATGGGGAAGCATTATAAAACATGAGCTGGAAAAATTGCTTAATTTGTCTAAGTCTAAGTAGCAAGTTACATCAGAGACAATGATGAATGTGAGTTTTCATGATTCCAAATCAATCCTATTAATGTTTCTATCGCTCCTTAGAACTAATATTCAGGTGCCCCCAGTACTCTTGCTGTGTTGTTTTGACACTTCCCCTTAACAGCCAAAGAGAAATGGTCAAATCCCCAACCCTATATCTTATGTTCTCTCATGCACACACATCTGATATGGAGAGTGCTAAAGACAACTTGACTATTCCCTTATATCCACCCTGGTGGCCCTATGGTTACTTCTAGCTGTGAAACTCAGGGTTTTCTACCTCATAACTTTCCCTAGAAGGCTGCAACTCTTTTCACAGATTTGTTCCTGTTGACATAGGCCCCTCCCTCAACTCCCCCAAGCCCCTGTGAATACTAGATAATAGAGTTTAATAAAACTTTATGGACCACATGTGGCTAAAATGAGAGTGTTGTAATGCAGACAAGAACATCTAAAGATGTATAGGAAATCCTGTAGTTCCCAGTGCTCAATATGTTGCAAAATTGAGATTCTCCTCCCCAGCCCACTATTCACTCTTCCAGGTAGGGATTTTGACCACTGGCTCGGCCATGCTCAAAAGCTCCAGGAACCTAGAAAGAGAAAACCAAAATTTATCTTTGATTACCAGCCTCAGCTTCCTTTCCTAGGAATGGATATGTCTGGCCTGCAAGTAAGAATTATTATGCATATAGCTTATAGTTACAGGGTTCCCTCTGACATAACCAAAAGGGTTACTATGGTTCTTATTCTCTCCCCTTCCCCTCAACTGAAGAGCAATCACATTCAAAGGAGAATCAAGCATACATCTCTTGCAACAAAATAAACCACAGAAACTTCAACACTGGTGTGACTTTTCCTCCCAAGGCTCAAATATCCCAGGACTAAGTTCTACAATTGAGGCCCAGGGTCAAAATTCCAGGAATTCCTTTCACCTCAACTCAGAAGTCTCAGTGAAAGGAAAGCTGTTCCCAAGTGTGTGATCTACGATGGGAAGATCAGTTTTGATATCGAAGGAGGGGGAACCAAACATGATACCCCTTTTCTTTCCATGTCTCAGTGTCCCGAGTCTGGGAAATTATTTATTAGTAAACTAACTTATTAGAAACTAACTAATTTACTAGTATCAGTAAATTACTCAGGGTCTCACTACTAGATCAGCCTCATAGTGATCCACCTGTTTACAGCCTCTCAAGAGCTGGGAACTCCAAGAGATAGTTCATACCTACCCTCTTCCTACCCATTTTGTGATCCAAATAGACCCAAGAGTTTCACTTCATCCTAGGTCCCATTTTGAAAGTTAAGAAGTTGCACTGATATATTATGACCTTATAGTGGTACAGAGAAGCAAGGTGGTCTCAGCTCTCCCCTGAAAACGTTCTCTGCATCTTCCCCAGCCATCTCAGGCTGTGGTCTAACTCCCTATGGCTATTGCTTGGAAAGCCCCCCTCCCCACTCCATTCTGTGTACTAGTCACTAGTTTGGGATTCCATCCAGGGTCCAATTAGGGAGAAAAGGCTTGTCATGCTTTTTTTTATTTTAGGGAAGGGTCAACAAGAGTATTCAGGGTCTCACTACTATATCAGACTCATAGTGATCCACCTGTTTACAGCCTCTCAAGAGCTGGGTTTACAGGCATGCACCATCATGCCTAGTCTCAATTGTCATCTCAGCAAGCCCTGGTGGGGGGGCTGGCATGGCAGTCAAGGGTATTGAACCCCCACCCAAAGTACCTGCTTGCAGGTGCTTTAATCCACTGAGCTATTTGGTCAGCACTTGTCATACTTTTCTTGCGAGCCTAGTCTATGCTCCCGATAGGTATATAGGCTGCATGAACTGGCCCTCCAACAGAGAACATAAGAGGAAATGAGGTGAGAGAGTATGAAGTCGAAAGTGCTCCAGCTCCCTAGCTGCAAGGTTATCTTGACTGGCTCCATTGTTGACTGAAGATCCCAGCCTCATCAGATGATCCTCCTGACTCAGGTCTCAATGTCCTGGGTACTGGAAGTTAGCTTATTGTCTCTACCTTTACTGGTGGAAAAATAACACTGTCCAAAATTTTTACTCTAGGGTACCGTACCCTCTTTTTCCACACTTTTGTAACTAGATGTTTTACCAAAGTCTCTTCAGATTACTTGCAAGAATGTATCAGGCAGGGCAGGATAGACAGCTCAACTGACTATAACACCTGCTTAGGCAGGCTCAGCGGCTGGGGTTTGATCCCTGGTATGCCATGCCAGCCCCGCCCCAGGGACACACTGAGGCAGCTCCTGGGACAGGAGTGATGGAGAGCACCTATAATCCTAGCACTTGGGAGGCCAAAAATAGGAGGATCATTATGAGTCCCACTTGTGTGGCGAGACTCTGTAGACCCTGTACTAAATATGTAAAAAAGAATGCATCATGCATTTTCTTCTTACACTGACTCTTACAAGTGCTCAGAAAAAGTTTAATTTAACTCACACTTTAGTGAGATAGATTTATACTTTCCAGGATGGTAGCCCACTTGAGGTAGGGCACTTTGTGCTTAGGAGATCCCTCTGGACTTTTCAAGATGTAATATCTGTGATACAACATGGCCTTTCACCTGACTCACTGTCCCCAGGCCTTTCTATTGTCCTGGTGCTCTCCTGGAGTATGATGACCATTGTCTTCATCTGTGCTGAGCAGTGCACATGAGTACTGGTACTGAGGTTCCCTTGCCTAGTATGATGAACAATGAGATGTGTTCCCCAGCTCTCTTTTCTTTTCTTTCTTTTTCTTTTTGTTTTGGTGTTTTCAGGGAAGGGTCTACAGAGTGTTCAGGGTCTCACTACTAGATCGGACTTGTAGTGATTCTCCTGTTTACAGCTTCCCAGGTGCTGGAATTACAGGCCCACACCACCATGCCCAGTTTTAATCACAGTCTTAGCCTGCCCAGGGGAGGGGCCAGCATGGGGCAGGCCCAGGGAATCAAACCCCTGGCCCCTGTGCCTGCTTGCAGGTGCTTTAATCTGCTGAGCTGTTTGGCTCACCTTGCCCTTTTCAAAGAAGGAAGTTTTGTAAAGAAGAAAGAAGTGTTGTCATTAGACAGTCTTAGGTGGGCCACAAGTAATCAGCTGAGGGCTTCCATATCCAAGGTCACATCTTTCTCAAAGTTGTCTCTACCTTAATGGCTGATGGGCAATGCAGAGGTATACAATCACTGACATTTTGCCCAAGTACACTGTTATGATAAGTTGTTTCACCCCAGTGTTTTCTAAAGGTATGGCAAGGTTGACTCTGGTAGGAATTGAAGGTCGAATTCTCCCTTCGCCAAATTGGCTCCTTCTTCTCTCTCTATCTGAGAGACTGACTCTGAGGGTATCCCTATTAGACATGCACACATTAGAGAAACCAGCTTACAAAAATTAAAAATCACTGATAAAACAACTGTGAGTGGATATTCCCATCAAAGCTCCATATATTGTCCCTGGAAATCATGAAGCTTTAGAGAAAGGGACATTTTCTTCTAAGGAAGCAGTCTCCCTTCTTGTACAGAACACTCAGGCTTCCTTCACAGGAGTCAGATGCCAGTTCCCTGGCCTTCCTAGCTGCAATGGACAGACCTCATGTGTCTCAGTGAAAGTCCCACAGACCTCTCCTCACTGGCAATTAGGAATGGTGACACTTACACTGTTACTTCCTCTAAAGAAATTGTACTCACAAACCCATTCCTCCTCCTCCTCCTCCTCCTCCTCTTCCTCCTCCTCCTCTTCTTCTTCTTCTTCTTCTTCTTCTTCTTCTTCTTCTTCTTCTTCTTCTTCTTC